CTCTGTGTCTCAGAAAATAACAGCGATGGAGCAGGAACTCCCTCTTCCCCACACCTGTGCTCCCCGTGCCCTCCTGCCCTCCCCCCGCCTGCCTTCCTATCTTTTGGCTCCTGCTCATCACCTTCCCTCCTATCACAGGGATGAAATGTCCCTGCTGCCCCCAAAGGCCCAACCCTCCAAGTGCACCAGCTCCCAGCCCATCTCACCTCCCATCCCCGACTTCTTCCTCTCCTGTAGCCAACTGTATTCAGAATTCATGAGCTCCAACACTCACTTTTTTCCGAAGAAACCTGTTTTTTCTTTCACACCAAACTTCGCCCTCACCCGGCTGCTAGGACCACCATCCTCATCTCATTCTCCCTTCAAGCCACCCCAACCTGCCTTCTCCGGCCTCTGGTCCACGAATACTGCGCATGGCAGGCACCAGGGCTCCAGGCTGTTAACCCTGGTGGTCAGCTCCTTGGTCTAACTGTTCTTTTTTTTTTAATATATTTTATTGATTATGCCATTACAGTTGTTCTATTCCCCCCTTCATTTCCCTCCACCCTGCACACCCCTCCCCCAACCGTTCCCTCCCCTTTAGTTTATGACCACGTGTCTCAAGTTCTTTAGATTCTATATTTCCCCTACTATTCTTGCCCTCCCCTATCTATTTTCTACCCACCATCTATGCTACTTATTCTCTGTACCTTCTCCCCCTCTCTCCTCCTCCCACTCCCCTGTTGCTAACCCTCCATGTGATCTTCATTTCTATGGTTCTGCTCCTGATCTAGCTGTCCCCTTAGTTTGCTTTTCTTTTAGGTGTTCTTGATCTCTCAGCATCTCTTAAGTGGGGCGCCCATTTCTGTCTTCGAATTTGAACTTCTCTTGGCTTTTATGACCAGGCATACTCAGGCTGCTCCCCACCTCACCAGCGGTCCCTTCTCAGGGCCCTGCCCTGCCCCCAGTGTGCTTCTGCTGGGGCCGCCTCCTCCTCCCTGCCACACACTTGCCCCTAAGGGACCTTACCCAGAGGCAGGTTTTAAATACCATGCATGACCACTGGCTCCAAAAACCATCTGCCCACTTCGGTGGGGCCAGTCCATCAGCAGCCCTCACCACAACCCAGGACTGCCCTCTCCCCAGCCCAATCCCAGCACTCCTGCCCTCAGGTCCAGCTCTAGTCCTCCCTTCAGGAAAACAATCTTCCAGGGCCTTCAAAACCCCACCGGTCTCTCCCCTTGCCTGCTAAAGCATTTAAACAGTCAGCAGCACTACGGGATTTATTACTTCATGACAGGCATTCTGTAATTGTTCCCTAAATGCCTTCTTCTTTGGTGGAAATCCACTCCCCCCAACTCAGTTGCTTCTGAAAATGCAAACATTCCTTTTCCTGTGCCTGGCGTGGAGCCGGATACACCAGTGATGTCCAGTTATCTGGGTCAACAGCCAACAAACGTAACATTTTATAAGTAAAAGCCACAACTCATGCAAGTGTTTTTAGTCTGTTAAACAGTCTGAGAAAAATCTGGACTTTGCCCCTGAGTTACTTGACAAATCATAAAAAACAACAACAAAATCTTTGTCTAAAACCGCCATGTAGCACCGTGAGAAAAACACCCACATTTGGAAAAGCAAGGGCTAAATTTGCAAAATTTTCTATCACTGAAGTCCTCACAAATTTTAAAACTTAAGATACTGAGCAGCATTTCACATAAAACGTGAAAATTTAAATTGTTTACTATATTCCTAACAAAAAACATTCAATGTGGTTAAGTTTTTAATCAGTGGGTGTGCAAAAATAATCAATGCAATTTAATCCTGTAACCCAAAAGGCTGCAGGAGATGCGGAGACAAGTGTGGTCATGCCAAGAATTTCTGCTAGACCTCTCCTTAAACGTGGCTTTGGAAAGGAGTGCTGTTCGTGAAGACAGTTGAACAGCCTGCGCTTCAGGCTGTGTTTAAGTCCAATCCATCCACTATGTAGAATTAGCCTTTCTTCATCATTAGAAGTAATAATAACAAATCCTACCCTATCCTTCCCCTTCCTCTCAACCCCCAGTTGGCCACACCTAAGAGATTAAAACTCAAACCAGAGTGCTTGCCTATTCTCCAGCTGGTCCCTACAACAGCCCTCTCACCATGCTGGGCAGCAGTTGCTTGCCATTGACATTGTAGCAACACCCACTTCGAAGCACTGCAAGCCCCACTGCCCTCCTCCAAGCAAGCGGGCCTGCTGGGGTCCCCACCTTCCACCCCCTCATTTCTTCCCCTCACCACGTCCTTCACCATTACCTTTCTCAACCTTCTTAAATTGGATCAGGATCCTCACCAACTGTGCCCCAAGGAAGTCTGGGATGCCTTGCACCGGGTTCCTTTTGCTACATGTGTACCTCAATATTAGAGCATTTACCAGGTTCTGAGACTTATCCATGAATCTTTCTCCCCAAACATCTCCCCAAGTTCCTGGTGAAGAAAGACCACATTTACATTTATATTCAGCACTGACTTACATACTGTATACCAAAAAGTATGTCCAAGTCCTAACTTCTGGTATCTTTGAAAATGATCATAGTTGGAAAGAAACATTGCAGATGTAAATTGCAGGTGTAATTGAGTTACGAATCATGAGGTGGGATCGTCTGGGACTTCGGGTGGCCCCGAAATTCGGTAACTGCTGGTCCTTGTAGGAGACGGGGGAGCGTTTCAGACAAAGAGAGGGAAGAAGGCCAGAGGCAGTCAATTTGCTACAATCCAAGGAAGGTCAGAAGCTGGCAGAAGCAAGGGTTGCCCTAGGGTTTTGGGAAGGATCCTGGCCCTGCTGACACCTCGATATCGGACTTCAGGCCTCGGGAACTGGGAGAGAAGAAAAGGATTTTCAGTTACCGGTTTGTGGGCATTTGCCACAGCTCTGAGAAACGAACACCTCGTCCGAACCTCAGCATGCTTGCTGCCTGCTACCTATGGGACCACTCAACAAAAACTGTGTTGAGCTCAAAGGAAAAGGAGGGCAGCGGGGAGAACGATGGGGAGCACCGGAGATGCAGGACAAGAATCTGGAACGTGAACCTCCCGCTGTTCATTCACTGCGACACCTTGGACAAGTCAGTTACCCACAGGGGCCCTCTGCTTCGTTCCCTTGTGAGAACGAAGGAGCTGGCCCAGAAGGCCCCCTGCCAGCTCTCTGAGACACCTGGGGCCAACTTCATCCAGAACATCCGCTCTACTTGATCCTTAAATAAATTATAAGTTCCTGCCACTAAGTAAATACATTTTATTAATTTTGATTTGATTTAAAGAACTTCAAGGTGCAAAAAATTGGTACAAATAACATTTTAAAGTCACTTAATGAGCACATGAAAAATTCAGTGAAATAACTGATACTATGCTAAAACGTGGTTTTCTATTTTATCTTTTTTTTCCTTTCTACAAAGCAAAATCAACAATTTACAAACAGTTGATCAATCCATCTGGAACTGCTGACGTTTCAGAAAAACTCGACCTAAACTTGAATCAACTTAAGCATCACTGACCCAGAACCCAATGGATGGCTAATTTGTACAAAGTAGTAAAGAGGGGGTGGGGGTGCATCTCCAGCACAGGGGTTTTCTCCAGTTGGCTCAAGACTGAAATTAAGGTCTGTACCCCCCAGTTTCCACTTCAAAGAATCTGGCTAAGAAATAAATAAATACAGCTGCTGCCACTACCAAATGGTCAAGTGTTGGTTGGTAAAGGAGTCAAAGAAAACAAAAACTACCTTACCCATGTTTACACCTCCATAAACAGAAACACACACACACACACTTTCCAGTGTGAAATCTTTCCTAATTCAAACAAATGGAAAGAAGACCAAAGGTGGTAGTAATGAGATTTATACTTATCATCCCCAATATCCTGCTTAATTTGGGTTAAATTAAAAACCATAATTTCCATTTTTCATGGATCAACATCGCTCCCCTGGCCTTTATGTTTTTATGGTATAGTGGCAGCCTTGGTGATTTTTTAATTTGTTTGTTCTAAGAAAATCAACCAAAACAACACAGGGGGATGGGTAGCCAAGGGACTCATATTTCATCTCAATAAAAGATCCATTAGGAACCCTTCAAAGCTTTTCCAAACTAATTCACGGTTCAGAAAATAAAACCAAGAGTCACCGGGGCCAGCTGTCCAGCTGGAATGCCCAGAGCCGCCCTTGCAAAACTGGACCGTGGATCTCAGCACACACTCAGTTATGAGACTAAAAACTTTTTCCTTCCAGGTGGCTACTCCATCCGAAAACCAATCCCTCGAATTGGAAGGCTAACAAACCCACAGTGTTCCCACAGTGTTCAATTCCAAAGTTCTCGGCTTTTAAATCTGAGCTCTCACACACACGAAAATGGAGCTGGCAAGTGCCAGGCTTCATCTCGAATATGTTTCCAGCCCTTCATAACAACTCAATTTTAAAAGCTGCTCTTGAACTGTAATAAAATGAAGATAGCAAAAGGCAAATCAATAATCTGGGGGCTGGGGGAATCACACAAAGGGGCGTTCTGAGTCCGCTGTGGTTCTGTTGTTGTTTTGTTATTGTTTTGTTAAACTGCAAACAAGCATCTGAGTGTAACTTAACGTGCACAGAGTTAAGAGCGGGCAGGCACTTGGAACGAAGTGCAGTTTTGTAAGCCCGAGCGCTGGATGAATGAGCTGTAATTCTGCCAACTGTGCATGTTTACTCGCATCCTCACGTGGCACCGCGCGGCGACAGAAGCGCTGCACCCAGACCGCGGGGCTCGCCGGTGAACCCGAAAACTTTTACTTTGCAAACTAGCGGAGCCAGAAGGCAGCTGGGAAGCAGATTCACTTGCCTTCCTCCAAATGCACCCAAGCCAAGCCCTCCACCCAGCAGCACCCTTGCCTGAAGCTTCATTCACACAAAGGCGAGTGGGTGCCCGCAGGATCCTCTCCAAAGTTCAAGCTGAGAACCAGCGATGGCGCGACCAGAAAGCACCGGAGGGCGAGCCCCAGGAGCGAGGGCTACTCACAGGGTGACCGTGCGGTTGGGCAGCGTATCCGGGGGCAGGACCTGCGCGAGCTCCAGACTGCTGCACACCACCTTGCCCTCCGTGGCACCTACCGCCCTGCCCGCCGCTCGGGGCCGCCCGTCCTGCTTGCAACCCGGGGGCAGTGCCAGTGCGCCACGGCCACCTCCCAGCAGCGCCAGCAGCGCTAGTGGTAGCAGCACTGGCGGCGTTGTCGGGCGGCCCCACCGGCGCCCTGGAGGCTCCATGCTGCGAGCCGGGGCCTGCGGGCCGAGCGGCGGCGCGCTGGCCTAGCGGGCCGGCCCGGCGCCCGGGTTGGCGGGGACGCGGCGCGGGCCCGGCGGTGCTCGGAGCCTCATGGCGGCCGAAGGACGCGCCCTCCTCGGCGCCAGCATGCTCCTTTGTCCACCGCTGCCGCGCTTGGCCTCCGGGGAGCCGCAGGGTCAAGGAAGCGTGGGTCCCAGCGCCGCTCTACAGCTCGGCAGTATCGCTGCTTCCTCCAACGTCGCCGGCGGCAGCCCCTCCCCACCCACCTCCTCCTCCCCCACCGCCTCCTCGCCCGTCTCCTCCCCTCCTCGCTCAACCCACCGCCTGCGGCTCCAGGAAGGAGGTGCGCGCTCCAAACTTGCCTTCCCCTCCAGCCCTGGGGCCGACCCCCCCCCCCCCAGCCTCGGCCTCGGCCTCCAGGCAGGAGTTGTGGGAGCCACGCGGGATTACGGTAACTCGTGGAGAGGATGGCAGAAAGTTCTAGTCCAAACTCCAGCCGGAGTGGCCCTCACACACACCCCCTCCTTCGTTGCCGCCTTCTAGACAAAGCCGCCCTGTGCGCCCCTGGGGGCCGCCTGGAATTCTGCCGGAGGAGCCAGGACCCGGCCTGAGTGAGGGAGCAGGACAGGGCCGAATTTCCTGGGAGAAAGGAGAGACAATCGAAGTGTCCCAAACCAACTATCTTGAAAGTAATCGCCTTCCTATCTCACTCCCCAGGAAGGGATTTCAAGCTTTCTCATGCCACACCTAAGTAGTCTCATTTGTGCAGAATACACCACAGCTAGGAGCAGTTTTCTCACCAGGAAGGGGGACTCTGACACCTTTCTGACCTTAGGCAGCTCTGCCTTTGGTCCCTGCAAAGGATGCATTGGGGCTTCCCTGGACCAGCAGCCTTTTGAAGGGAGAAATTTCCCCGTGACATCCAATATATAACTAGTTAGAGCAATAGTGAGCAAAGTAGCCAAGAAACGCCAGACCAATCAATTATATACTCCTCTGTAAGACTGCCTGCCCCTGCCTTAAGGTCTGCAAGACCAGAGCTCACATACCCTATGTTTAAATATTTACAAGGAGTATATTAAGCTAATAAGTAAAATGCATTCTAATCTCCTGCCTTAAGAAAGATACATTAGCAACAACCTGTAAGACCAGGCCTGTGTACAGAGCTCACAGATACCTTGAAGTTCCATCCAAAAACATGAGAGGAGACAGCCCCCACACCCCACCCTTGGCTCACACATTTCCAACTCCTTTGCTTCCTGTGCCAGCCCCGTTCGTGAACAAGAGGGGCTTTCTGCATGCGTGGACACCCAGCCCACTCAACCAACCTCTGCCCACACCCCTTGGCTGCCCCTTGGACCTAGGAGTGCACAGAGCAGTTGCTTGGACCTCCACTTGGGAGGACAATTCTGGGAAGAGACCTGCTCAGGGCTTGCAAATCACTTTGGGAATTTTCCAGCAGTGAATTCATGGGGCCTGGGTACCTTGGACAAGGTCTAGAAGTAGGAAGGAGACTCAGGCTCCTGGGGAATATACCCATTGGTCCCGGAGATTTTCTACCCCTTGGAAAGAAGAGACAGGATGCTGACCTCTAAAATGCAGAGCCCAGGGCACGGTTTTTCTTGCCTGGGTTTAAGGGTTCAAGGCCAGTACTACCTAAGTCCCCTATGGAGTTTATCTTAGGGACCAATTCCCAGGAATCCATTTATGTAACTGGAATTACCCACACTTTCTCAATAGTGGGTAAATGGCCTTCACTTAACATACACCACTGCACTAATTTAAATAGCACTTCATTTGACCAACATTTTTTAGATTCAACTGTGTAAATCTAATACTGTCCTTCCTCAGTGATAGTGTGTCCTGCAGTAAAATAGTTCTAGGTCTGTGCTGTCCAATATGGCAACTATGGGTAGCTGGCTAACACTTGAAGCTAGAGTGAAGTAAGAATATTATTTCCCATTTTGTTTTATTCTCATTAATTTAAATAGCCCAAGGTGCCTAGTGGCTACCATGTTGGACACTGAGGATCTCAATATTGATAGACAGAAAAAGTGGGGGGCTGTCACAACCATTAAGAAGCTTTAAGTCTATTCATAACCTTTGAAGGCAACGGGGGGCTTCTGTGTTAAGTGGCTGAAATTGATCACATTCCTCTTGCATTTATTTAAAGAATTATTGTTCCCTAGCAAAATCTTTATCATCATTATCTGTTTTCCTTATCAAGATAAAAAATCCTTACTTTAGCAATACAGCAGATTTTAAGAGTCGTACCATTATTGACATAGCCACAAATTCTCATGTGAATGTAGAATCTGTGAATAGTTCCACAGGGTCTATTTCAGCCTATAGTTGAAATAAACATGCATATCTCTTTCAAACTTTGTTTACCAGAAATACTGACATCAATTTGTCTCCTAGCCTCATTCTATTTCAGTATAGGTGAGAAAGTTATATAAAGCATAGAATTATCAGAAGAAAAGAGCTATCTTGATGTTGCCATGACTCCAAGAAAAAATACAGAGGAAAAGTTTTATTATATGGATAACAACCCACAGTTACCATCATTCTGTACAGCGTAGTTCCCAAGTAGTCCTTTCCACACGTACAGAGATCTCGGAGGATGATACTGTCCCAAACTCACTGTCACTTACTCTAGGTCACACTACACTCTTCGCTTTAATTAAGCTACCCAGCCCGGACAGCCTCTGGGAAGACAGGTCTGTCTACTGCTGATCCTCCCCTCAAGCGTCAAGACCATCCCACCATTCGAAATTGTGGGACTAACTAGGTCCTTTCAAAGCTTGTGCTGCGTTTGCGACTGTCCCACTTGCAAACACCCCGTAGAAACTGTTTGAGAGGTTGCACGTCCTCCGTGTTCATGGGCACGCAGTCCAGTAAAAATGCAGTCGCATCAACTGCTGCCCCAGGGACGTAGGCGGACGACATTCCAGATCTGCCAGGCTGCAGATCCCGTCCTGCTGTGGCACGTGAGGCCTGTGGGAGACACCAGGGAAGCCCTCAGAGATGCTCTGATTTCCCTCCTAACGTAGCACTGTATTCATTTTGTGTGTGAGTACATATGTGATAGAGATGTGTGTGTGCATATACACACATGCCGCCCTAGTGATTACCATCTTTTACACGCTAGTCTTCTCTCTTCTCTAGTAGACTGTGAGCTCCTAGAGGCTTTTCCCAACCCCCTTCTTTAATTACTCCCTCCCACCTTCAGCCATTTCCTCTTACTTTACTCTAGAATCTAGACCAATGATCTAGACTGAGTTGAGATAACACGGCTTGTTGGGACCTGAATGAAGGCACCTACCGTTTATAATTTACATTTACATGTTGTTTGGCCTCCCTACCACAATACCAGCTCTGTGACACTCCGTCTTACCATATTTTGCCATGTATAATGCACACCCACATCTTTGGCCAAAACTTTCAGGGAAAAAAAAAATCTTTTGTTTTAATTTTTTAACTCAGTGATTGATTTATTTACATTTAGAAACAAAGCCAATGATCTGATTCCAGGGTATTGTTTTGCATACAGATATCAGTATTGCTTTCTAGAGTTACACTTTCAATTCACGAGCATAAATAAAAGAATTACGAACATTTATACAGATCCAGATTAGTACAACCCATATATAACGAGCATCGTTATTTTTCCCTAAAAATTTTGGGCAAAAAAAGTGCGCATAATACATGGTAAAATACAGTATTTACTTTCTATGGCAGACACTGCTGGATGTTGCCTAAGGGCCGTTCCCAAACTTCTCCCTTAGAGACTGAAAAAACCAGTCATTTCCCAGCCACCCTTCCAGGTACTGGTGGTTATAACATAGTTCCAGCCAAACAGAATCAGTGCTGGCATTGCTCAATATGGTAGACACTAGATACATCTGAGTATTTAAACTCCAATTTCAATTAAATAAAACTAAAAATTCGGTTCCGTAGGCACATGAACCACAGTTCAGGGGCTCGCTAACTATATGTGGCTGGCAGATGCTGTTTGGGACAGCCCAGATTACAGAATGGTTTCAACATCACAGGAAGTTCCACCACCCATACTGATCCATGGGGAAGTCTTCTGGGAAGCCTTAGGATAGAAATTGTTTGTGTGACAAAGAGAGATGTGTAAGAGATTTCTCCACCATCCTCATTCATCTTGCTTCGAGATGGCATTGTGAGGACATGACAGCTGAAGCTGAAACAGGTGTTTTTAGACCACAGAGCAAAAGGCTCAAAGGAAAGTTCCAAAATGGCGAGAGGAAATAGGAAGGCAAAAGCCATTTGGATCACTGAGGTCCTATCCTAGTTGAGCAGATAGGACCTCAGATAGGTCCTGTCCTAACCCAACAGAGCCTCTAGGCTTCTTTTCAGTGACAGTGAAGATCCTGTGTGCCAAGCCTCTGTTACTGCAGTTTTCTAGTGCCTAGAACAGTGCCTGGCACACGGAAGGAAGTTGACTCACATGACTTAAATCTTACTCGTTCTTGTGTTCCTAACATCCAGCATAGTTCTTCATGTACACTGGCTGGTGAGTGAAAGCTTTTTCCAATTAACTATTTTGAATAACTGGGCATAAACTGCCAGCTAAAATCAACTAACTTGAGAAGAAGATCAACTAAAGTTTAGTCTTCTAGAAGCAAAAAATAAAAATAAAAAAGACTGATGAAAGTTTAGTCTTCTGGAAGCAAATTTCATCTTTGCAGTGAAATTGACAGGACAAAGAACAGCCATTTTTAGCACTTGCAATGTCTCCGTGACACTTGCATAAACCCTGTTAATAAAGAGACATTCTCTGTTTATTTTGCATCATTTAATGTTAATGTGTTAATTGTGACAGCTGTAATTTACACTTTTAGTTTTACATAGTATGTGATAGAATGTGTGCTTGGTCGTCATCCAGGGCCCAGTCAGGAACAGCCACAGTATCTCAGATGACCTCCAAGCCTCTTCAGACAGCTCAGCTCCTGTCCTGGCCGGCGAGTTAGTAGGAAGAGTGGCCTTTGACCTGTCTCTAAATCTCACCTTTCAAAATGAGAGTTGGAATTGGAACCGGCTTTCAAGCGCTCTGATTTTATCCTGCTGAACCATGAATTCTTTTCTTGTTTGAGCGCTGCAGCCAGACAATTACTGAAATGTAGCCCTGTGGCAGTTAAATGCTTTTCTTAAATGACCGAATATCTCTCTGAAATGGCATATTCTTTACCCACTGCAATGCAATTATCA